CGTTTCTGTGTCTAAGATCGCGAGCGATACATTTAGATTGAAATCCTCGTTTGACTCCTCGCCTATATTTTCTAAATCTTCTTCGGTGATATCCTCTGAAAAGTCCTGAATGTCGCCAATGTCAACTTCTTGATCGATCCCCGCCATAGCCTTTGTTTTTCTTGCCTTCACTGCGTGAAATGATAAATATTTTCGAACGGCAAGTTGGATTGTAGCAAATTTCACTATATCGCCATATTGTTTTTCACTCCTGGCATACCGCTTATTGATCACGTGACAAAAATAAAAATTGGTTCCCGACATAAATTTCTGAGGCCTTTGAAGTTTGCCGGCTAGCCTAACCATCCCCCTTCTATTAACTGTGTTTAAATTAATCCTATCTACGAAGCACGCAAAGCAATTATTTTGTTAGGCCTACTTGATAAAATTGACAGGACGCGGAAGTATTAACAACACATCAGCATAACGCCAAGCTATAACGCCAAGCATAACGCCATGATATGATCCAAAATGTGAAATTTAAAGATGTGAAATGCGGATTTCAGAAGAAAATATCATCTGATGTCAAAAATATTAGAAAAAACGAATCACTGTTTGTGCCTGCTGATAAAACCACCAACTTTTACAAAATGGACCCTCCATCCTACAACCAACTACTGCAGAGAAACATCACTAAAACCTACAAGAAAATCTCCACACAAACTGTTTCGTCCATTGAAAACCGATCGAAATCAATTGCGAACAAATTAAATTTAACTGATCGAATTAATACCACAGCTGAGAGAGAACCCTTTATCACATTAAAGGACCACAAACCTAATTTTGAAAACAACCCTACCTGCCGTCTTATCAACCCTCGTAAGTCCGAAATCGGTAAAGTAAGTAAACAAATTCTAGACAGAATCAACGCGAAAGTTATCGAGTCTACCGGCATGAATCAATGGAAAAATACGAAATCTGTCCTGACGTGGTTTAATAACATCGCCGACAAAGATCAGCATTCATTTATCGCATTTGACGTAGTTGACTTTTATCCGTCTATTTCGATTGAACTTCTCGACGCTGCTTTAGATTTCGCATCAAATTACGACAATATTACGGACGAGGAACGAGAAATTATTATGCACGCCAAAACATCATGTTTACACAGTTCGGGAAACTATTGGGGTAAACGGACATCATCTAGTCTCTTTGATGTCACAATGGGCAGCTTCGACGGTGCAGAATCGTGTGAACTAGTGGGTTCATATTTACTACATCTTATCACAACAAAGCATGGAAACAACTTCGGATTATATAGAGATGACGGGTTAGGAGTCATTAAAGCGACAGCGCGTGAGATCGAAAATATCAAAAAAGATTTGTGTTCCATTTTCAACAAATACGGACTTAAAATCACAATTGAAGCTAACAAGAAAATAGTCAATTTTCTTGACGTTACCCTTGATTTGTCAACCGGGAAATATCAACCATACGCCAAACCTAATAATATACCCCTTTACGTGCACAAGAAATCTAATCACCCACCTAATATCCTGCGCAATATCCCACTGTCTATCAACAAACGCCTAACTGAAATATCATCCGATGAGGAATCATTTCAACAAGCCTCGCAACAATACCAGCACGCACTTCAGAATAGTGGTTATAAACACCAGTTAAAGTACAAGCACCCACTTAATCATACAACCCCTCGAACCCGAAATCGAAGACGTAATATCATTTGGTACAATCCACCATTTAGTAAAAATGTATCAACAAATATTGGACAAACATTTTTGAATATCATCGATGATGAATTCCCGATAGGCCACCCCCTACACAAAATATTCAACCGCAACACTGTTAAAATAAGCTACAGTTGCATGCCTAATATCAAACAAACCATCGACGGACACAACAAGACCAAACTGTCACAAACCGCCACAACGAGCGAAGAAAGCACATGTAACTGTAGAAAGAAAGAGGAGTGCCCAATGTCCAAAAAGTGTTTGGTCGAAGCTATTGTATATCAAGCTACAGTTTCTACCAACGACAATAGTCCACCTCAAACATATGTTGGTCTGACTGAAAACGCTTTTAAAACTAGATATTACAACCACAAAACCTCATTTACTTTGTACGAGAAAAGGAACTCCACTGAACTTAGTAAATATGTCTGGCAGTTAAAGCGCAAAGGAATTGAATTTCATATTAAATGGCAAACCTTGAAACGGGCCAAACCCTACAGCCCTGCTTCTAATAGATGTAATCTCTGCCTTTGGGAAAAATACTTTATTATATGTAAACCTGAACTGGCTACTTTGAACAAACGTAACGAATTAGTGTCTTCATGCAGACATGCGAAAAAATTTCTTTTAGCTAACATTTAAAGGGCATGCACTCGAGACAGGCATATTTTTGTTTTAAATATACCGCGCAATCTTTTAAAATAGCTTGGCGTTATGCTGATGTGTTGTTAATACTTCCGCGTCCTGTCAATTTTATCAAGTAACAAAATAATTGCTTTGCGTGCTTTGTAAATAGGATTAATTTAAAGCTTTCATCCACTTGTACATAAATACTGTAGGTTTTTTTTGCTGTAGTCATAAGGCTAATTTATCTGATGAGTGCCACATCTTGTGGTACGAAACTAATAGTAATAAAGATGCCTAGTGGAATTTGTTGAGTCGTTGCACTTATTTAATTATGCTCTGGATATCCATTGAGCACTCTGCCAAATGTTTTTGTAAACAACGAAACCTAATTCTATATATATATATATATATATATATATTTATGAAGTAAATTTTTGTATCTGTTCTACACAGTAGATCTTTAATGAGAAAAATCCAACACCATGCACCTTTGTCAACTTGAAGATTATATTCGCATATTCAGCGAACTGGGCTGACCTTGTACCAATTGAACAATCGAGTGAGTGGGAACAATGTATCATGTTTCCCTGACGATGGCTCTGAAATAGAGTGCTGCCAGCGGGAATCATGCAGCAGAATGCATGGAATCTCCTGCTTGGATGAGCAATCATTAGTTACCGCGTAGGCCGGTCATAATACGTCTTCGAGGAGTATTGACAATCTACCAAATGCAGAAAACCTTTCCTTCGTCAGGTACTGGTACGCTGGAAATATTGACTGAACTGTGAATATCTAAGGGTAAGTGATTTAATATATCTTGGTTTTATATATATATATATATATATATATATATATATATATATATATATATATATATATATATATATATATATATATATATATATATATATATATATATATATATATATATATATATATATATATATATGATAACTTTTCTAAGGTTTGTAGCTGATCTGGTTAAAAACATTTTATTTAAAATAAAAACTACCGGGTGTCCCAAAAAAAAGTACTCCGGTTTGATTCGTAATAACTTCTAAACAAGTAAAGCTTTTAATGAGAAATAACTTGCATCAAATAGAGGAATGACTAACTTAGATTTTGATATATTACAGTTGTATTTCACTAAAAAATTCACAGAGATATTAATGTTTAAAATCGGGAGCATATTTCTGGATGTGTCTGAAATATGCAAAAAACGGCGTATCAAATATTAATCAAGATTTGCCCGACTGAATTAAACATGCACTATTACCAGTAAATAAATGACACTTGACAAATTGTTTATTATGAAACAAAGTATTATACCATGAATACAAGCAATATTAAATTTATTCGTCCAAAATTCGCGTGTGTTCCTAGCACAAATACGTCAAGTTCCTCATTTCATGAGACCACTGCATCGCGAAGGATCGTCCATAGTTCTGAATTAGGGCATGCTGTCACAATGGAATTGTGAAGCTCTTCTAACTTCTGCAACGTTCTGAAATCTTGTCAAGAACACCCAAACTCTTTTGCCTTTCTTAATCTTGGCAAGTTCAGAATAAAGTGAGTATGAAACACAATCAAACCATACAACTCCATAAGAAATAACAAGCAACTCCCCAGATCGAGACATCCAACATTTTTGGAACAAAACGTAACAAAATAGTAGCGTTGATACTGTGATGTGTGTTTGCAAAAAGCAATATTATTTCCTTCGAGAATAATATTCAACCTGCTCTAACCGAGAAATAATCAACTCTGTTTTGAACCCATGAAATACATAAAATAATTAGGCTATTTAAAAAAATTTAAGCGCCTGCCTTGCATGGTCTTTCATGTACCTTTAAGTTTGTAAAGACCTATTAAATACTTGCATAATTTCGAACGTTCATGCACATTTCAGGAAACAATGAGCTAAGACTTACATGTAAGATGTCTAAATCTATGCCATATCCCTTACAAACCGCCTACCGGCAATTCGCTGAAATACAAATTAGCCTGATATGTCATTAAGCAAACAAACGCTGCAGTTAATATTTGATATGCCGATTTTCGCTAATTTTAGACACATCCCAAAATATGCTCCCGATTTTGAACATTAATATCTCCGTGAATTTTTAAGTAAAATACAACTGTAATATATCAAAATTTAAGTTAGTCCTTCTTCTAATTAATGCAAGTTATTTCTGTTTGATAGCTTTACTTGTTTAGAAGTTATTATAAATCAAACCGGAGTACTTTTTTTTGGGACACCCGGTATATATATATCTATATATATATCTATATATATATCTATCTATATCTATATCTATATCTATATCTATATCTATATCTATCTCTATCTCTATATCTATCTCTATATCTATCTCTATATATCTATCTATCTATCTATATATCTATATATATCTCTATATATATCTCTATCTATATATCTATAGATATCTATAGATATCTATAGATATCTATAGATATCTATAGATATATAGATATATATAGATATATAGATTATCTATATCTATATATAGATATATATATAGATATATATATAGATATAGATATATATAGAGATATATATAGATATATATATA